TATGACTTCCCAAGTACTAACCAAGGTCCCTAAAGAAAAAAACCTTGCACGTACCGCAACACTGCCTGGGGAGTGTTAAACCACGGAAGGTAAATGAAGGCTCGTGTATGGATCGACGGGGCGTCGATGCCAACAGTCGCCCCGCACTTAGACAAAATGGTTAATCCCTAGACTGCACAAATTCTTTGACTAAAATGATGATTGTGCAGGACGGAGGGGGGACCAATCATTGACTCACAGACGACCCATCGATCGGGTTCTCATTTATGAGGGTCAATGTTTCCTGCACATACTAAGTTAGTTTCATTTAATTAGTTAAGGGGTTAAGTGGTTAATTAGGAGTTTAAGGGAGTCTGATTAGGTTAAATTAAACCCCCATATAAAGACCCCAACCCCATTAGTCTAAACAAAACTCACAAAATAAAGTATCTTCCTTCTCTCTTCTTTCTCAATCTATTTGGAAGACACCAATGAAGACAAGCTAGGGGGAGTTTTGGGGGATGGAGAACAAAGACTTAACCATAAAATCTTCATCAAAAGTTAAGGTATGGTATTTAATTGACCTTTGAGACTTCTTTCGTCAAAGGGTTCCCTCAATGTATTTCTAAAAGTTGGGTTTTCAAGTGGGTTTCATTCAATCACCAATTTGATGTTATGAACTGATTTTCTTATGGTTTATTTATGATATAATGAATATATCAACATGTATTAACTTGATTATGATAATTTGTGATGGTTTAATCTAAATAGAAGAACATGATCCTTGACCCTTAACCCTAGGTTTGATATTTATATAAATTAGGTTGTGATTGATTAAACTGACTTGATTATTCGTTAAATCACTATTAGATGATGTTGTTACAGTAATCATGAACAAAATAGGATGATTTTTAGTCTTTCATACTAGTACTTGAGAAGCGATCTAGGTTATGTGAATTGACAAAAGTATCTTGTCTTAAGCTTTGATTTAGCATTGAATTGTTGTGTAGTGACTCTTCTAGTCTTGATATCATGTTGATCACTTAATTATGATTATGTTATGACCTAATTTTTTTGAAGAAATGGTTGATGGTAAGACCTTGATGATGTATTATGATGGAGACTTGGTAAGTCTTGTAATCCCTATTATTTACTTTAACTTGTGGTTAATTATGATTAACACATGATGTTATGTTGGAGTATGCCTTTTTTAGGATTGAAAGGGTGTTATGATGTTGAATTTAAATGTCTTGATTATGGTTGTGAGGTTGGTTAAGATGTAAATGCTATAATAATGGTGATACTTAACACTGTGCCTTATTATGAAATGATATGTAATGTGTTAACCTCACTTGTATAAATTGTGATGAAAGGACTATACTCATGAATTATTATTGAGCTATGATTATAATACCATATTACCTAAATTAAATTATGATTGTTCATAAATACTTAAAGACATTTCAATAAAGGGACTTATCTTAGCACCGAGTGAACTTGACAATGGAAGGTAATGACTTCCCGAAGAGGAAGATTCACCCTATAGTTCTATATGTGGTGTTGACTTCCCAAAAAGGAATACTCATACAATATATTCCCATGAGTGGAGGCCCGAATTGCCATGTGGTATGAAGATGGAATGTACCTATCTCTTAGTTCTTGAACTATGTTGCCCCCATAGGAAGACTAGCTAGTGGATCCACCTAGAAAGTTACTTTTATGTTTGCTTTTAGTTTGGTAGGTAGACCACCTTCCATCTGTGTAAAGCTTTATAACCCGGATTCCACACTAAGCTCTTGTGTTCTATGTTAGTTAAGTCAAGTATTCACTAAACTAAAATGAAGCAATGAAGTATAAACCAACTAGGGAGACTTGAGAGGTTTAACTTAGCTTAGTTGGAGGTATGAGGCTCAACTTATGCCTTGCACTACGTGTCCTTGATGGAAGATTTAGAAATTTGATATTATGTATGTATATGATAATGATATATATATGATAATAATATGTTGATGATACGATATAAATGATATTTTATGATGATGATTATCCTCTTGAACATGTAATTGGGGTGTACTATTAAATTATGACGGTATGTGTCCTTAAAGGTTATATTATGTGAATTTGGACATTGTTTATGATTTCTTGTTGTTGCTATTTTATGGTGTAAGGTTATAGGGCTTTGCTTGGTCATTGCACCTGTTGCCTTGATAAGGATTCACGAGTAATTGTCTTGCATATTATGATATGGTTAACTCTTATTCATGCTTGTGATATTATTACTTGATGATAGGGTTGTAGTAGATTATGGGTTCTTGTATATTGATATGCATTTTAATTTTTTGAGTTATTAAGCATGTTTTGTAACTTGATATTATTTGCTTGATTATGCATAAGACTTTTAAAGGGTAAGATAGCATGGTTTAACTAAATGTCCCTTTTTAGGATGTTTTGATCTTATGTGTGCATATGGTCTCAAACATAGTATAAGTGGCGTACTAAACCCATTTTCTTCCTTTTTCCGAAATATTTAAGGTTCTGATCATTGAAGGCTCATTTGAGACGACTTGAAGAAGACTTGGATATTCTCTACCATCCAAGTGGTATGTCCTCACTTTCCGAGGGTGATGCCAATATCTAGCTTATGGACTTACTTTGTTTTCTAAGACTATTATGTTCATTTTATTTCCATTTGAGTACTATTTGTATAAGCCTATATGTGGCTTTTTAACATCGATGTAGGGATATGCCCAAATCTATGATCGTTAGATAGTATGAGACGAGACAATCTTTGAGACTATATTATATCTTATATATATGTATGTGAAATAAAAGTAGAAGGCTATGTAACCTTCCTATACGAATGAGTTGTCTCATTTTAAACCATCTAAACGGAATCGAATCAACATGGTTATAACCCTTTACATAATCTAGAAATTCCACTTAGGACTTACAATAATATCTGGAAACAACATGAATGAAATTATTTTCTTTAGACTATATCACAGAACCATAGCTAGAGTAATAACATGGCACCATCTGTGAAACATGAGGACATACACACACTTGGAGAAATAATCCAAGCTTTCCTTCAAATTGGTCACGAACCCTTTATCGACCGGAACCTAAAATTTTGGAAAAAGGGAAGAAATGGGCTTAACACGTCACTTGTACTAAATATAGGATCATATGCACATACAACATAGAAATTATTCCAAAGAGATACATTTACTCAAGAGCATGCAAAGTGATTTGGAAATACCTTATGGACATTCAAAGTGCAATGATAAAGTTATGTCCAATAACCTCAGTCAATCAAGATAATGTGGATTCCGGTGTCATGGAACCCTACAAAAAAATGGACTACTTGCCAAGCTAGTACCAAAACTAGAAGATAGCATCTATGTGGATCCACTAACTAGTATTCCTGTGGGGTGTATTTTGCTTTAAAATATATAATAATATATATGACTAGGTTTCGAAAAATTAATTAATCTTATGATTTATCTTAAATTAATTTTCCGAATAGACAAAGTCGCCACTTGATTTTTGGTAAAACCAAGAAAAACTTATAATTATTTTCAAAAGATTTATAAAAATAGTTAAAAATCAGTTGAAAAGGGTTTGAAGTTCAAATATACATTCTAAGAAGTTGTTAGTCCCTCGGAGTGCCCACTAACTCGCAGTTGAGAGACGATTTGACTAAAAATTACTTTCTATTTAATAAATTTTTAATTTAATTTTTTTCTTTTATTTTTAAACCAAGTAAGGAGACTTTACTTATTATCTATATTATTATTATTGAATTAAATTCTTTTTTTTCTTTAGGGAAACGGTGAAATCATTTATAAGGGGAAGTGACATAAATGGGGTTAATACAACTAAAAATGGAATAAAAGCCAAGGGACTTCTTAAAACAATCCTAGAATCAATAGATGTTCTTTATGAATTTTATGTTGTTGGAAATTGATTCAAATAAACAATTCATATTCCCAAGTCTTCGGCATAAGTGATATAAAATCCTGCTTCCACAAAACTATTGATTCTAGGATTGTTTTCTCCTCCGTGGACTTCGCCATATTCATTCATAGGAAGAATTTGCCAATTTTAAATCAAAGCTATAAACCTACATCCATAAAAAAATTGTTAGTTTTAAAAATGAACTTATCAGTGTCAATTTCTTCAGTTGTCTGCTCCAGTTCCTGCTATCTCTGGTTGATTTCCCGATCTCCCGACTCTTAATATATAAGACGAAGTATTTTATGCCAAAAAAAGTAAAATGTAAAAGGGGAATTTAAGAGAGAAGTGAATTTTTGAGAAATAGTATCTTGAAAAGGTCACTGCCAAGTTATGTCATATCAGGCTTAACAATCTTCTTTGAGTCTGATGCTTGGAGGTCTCCAATTATTTGCTGGGGAGTTTTCAGAGTCGCCCCAGACTTGCAGATAGATCTGTGCTGAAATTTTGAGGCCATCCTCAAAATTTCTATCCCAGTTAAATGTCTTGCTTATCTTTCCACTGTAGATCGCGGAATTTTGAGATCTTCTCAAAAAATTTGTCCTAGTTGTAAATCTCGAAACATCTTCAGCCTTGTCTTGCTGAGGAAGAATCTTCTTCCCGAGAATTTTTGAGTCCAGTTTCTATTGTAAAGAGGAATAGAAATCTTATGGGAGATATGACTTAATCCTTACTGCGCTTACAAATCCCGTTGAGGCAGGAATCAGGTCAAACGTAGTTCCCCGCTCAAAGGTAACAAAATAAGAAAAATTCCAGAGAAATTGACCTAGGCCGACATAGGCCGCCTACATTTCTCATTTTGAGAATTCACGTCGAACGTAGTTCAAATACAAGGAAACATTAAAGGGGCAAATAGGGTGACCGAAGACCACATAGGCCGCCTACGTATGTCATTCTTGAGAATTCAGGTATGACGTAGTTTAGTATAGGAGGGATAAAATTTAAGCAAAACGAATACAAGCAAATAGAATGATTACAAGTAAAAAATATAAATGCAATCCGCAGCTTCACACGTAGTATCTCTTGACAGCGTCTGAGTTGATAGGTTTAGGCCATACGGTGCCGTCCATCGCCGACAGGACCAAAGCACCTCCAAATAATACTTTGTGAACCATGTAAGGTCCTTGCCGGTTTGGTGCGAATTTTTCTTTGTACTCGTCCTGATGAGGAAAAATACGCTTAAGAACCAACTGGCCTACTTCAAAAATTCTTGCTCTTCCTCTCTTGTGAAAGTCACGAACCATTCTCTGCCTATACAATTGACCATGACAGACGACAACCATTCTCTTCTCATCAATAAAAGTTAGTTGATCAATCCGCTTGCTGACCCATTCAGCATTACTCAATTCAGCTTCTTGGATGACTCTCAATGATAGTTTCTCAACTTCAGCAGGTATGACTGCCTCTGTTCCATATACTAGTAAGTACGGAGTAGCACCAGTCGATGTTCTGACAGTCGTTTGATAATCAAGTAAAACATATGGCAACATCTCATGCCAAACTCGGTGATTGCCAATCATTTCCCTCAGAATCTTTTTGATATTCTTATTGGCAGGATCTACAGCTCCATTCATTTGGAGACGATAAGCGGTTAAGTTTCGGTGAGTAATCTTAAATTGCTCATATATATCTCTCATAAAGTGATAATTGAGATTGGAACCATTGTCAGTAATGATTGATTCTTGCACTCAAAATCTGCATATTAGATTGTTGTGAGCAAAATCAGCCACCACTTTCTTGGTAACCGACTTGTAAGAAGCTACTTCCACCAACTTGGTGAAGTAATCAATGGCTACCAAAATGAATATGTGTGCATTAGAAGCCTCTGGTTCTATAGGAGCGATGACATCCATACCGCAAGCTACAAACGGCCAAGGTGAATTCATAGCATTAAGTCCGTGAGGTGGCACTTGGATTGAATCACCGTGCACTTGACATTTGTGACATTTTTGCACAAACTTGCAACAATCATTCTCCATAGTCATCCAAAAATATCCGGCTCGTAGGATCTTTCTTTCCAAAGTGAGTTCATTTATATGTGTGCGACAAATCTAGCATGTATCTGTTCAATAAGCTTCGCAGCATCAACACATCTTAGAAAACCTAAGTCTGGAGTCCTCTTTTATAAGATTTCTTTGCATAGAAATAAATTGAGAGCCATACGGCGTATCTACTTCTTCTGATTGGACGTAGCATCTTCGGGATAAGTTCCAAACTCCAAATACTTCTTTATATCAAAATACGAAGGCAAACCCTTTGGTTCTGCTTCAACATGGGAACAATGGACTAGATGTCCTTTCAACTCTCTATCCACAGGATCAGTATAATCTGTATTTGGATGTTTAATCATTGATGTGATGGTGGCAAGAGTATCAGCCAATTCATTCTGTATTCTGGGAGTATGTCTGAACTCGATCTTGTGAAACCTTTTGCACAACTTTTGTACATATTGTACGTAATGTACAATCTTCGGGTTCTTCACAGCCCATTCTCTATAAACTTGATGAATCAAAAGGTCTGAATCTCCAATAACTAACAACTCGTAGACATTTATGCCGATGGCTATTTTCAAGCCAACAATACAAGCTTCGCATTCAGCCATGTTGTTTGTGCAATTAAATCGGAGCTTAGCCGCCATGGGATAGTGCTTACCAGATTTTGACACTAAAACTACTCCAATACCTTTACCTTGATGATTTGCCGCTCAATCAAAGAATAATCTCCAACCTGAATATGCTTCAGAAATATCCTCTCCCACAAATGACACTTCTTTATCGTGAAAATAAGTCTTAAGTGGTTCATACTCTTCATCAACAGGATTTTCTGCGAGATGATCAGCCAAAGCCTGTGCCTTTATCGCTTTCTGAATCACATACTAGATGTCAAATTCACTCAACAACATTTTCCACTTAGCTAACTTTCCGGTTGGCATCGCCTTCTGTAAGATATACTTCAGTGGATCCATTCTGGAAATGAGGTATCTAGTATAAGTAGACAAATAATGTCTCAACTTCTGGACAAGCCACGTCAAAGCACAACACCTTCTCTCCAACAAAGTGTCCCGAGACTCATATGGAGTAAACTTATGGCTTATATAATAGATATCCCTTTTCTTCTTTCCTGTCTCGTCGGGTTGACTAAGTACACATCCGAATGCACTATCTGAGTTAGACAAGTACTACAACAAAGGAATCCCTTCTCGCGGAGGAACCAATACTGGTTGGATTTTACAAATAGCTCTTGATAGCATCAAAAGTAGTCTGACACTCTTCAGTCCACTTTGTCGAGGCGTCTTTCTTCAAAATCTTTAAAATACGCTCACATACCACGGTTGATTGAGCGATGAATCGACTGATGTAGTTTAATCCCCCTAAGAAACTCATCACCTCTTTTCTCGTCTTCGACGGGGGTAACTCTTGAATTTCTTTAATCTTAAAAGGTTCGAGTCAATACCCCTTCTGCTAACTATAAACACCAACAAATTTTCGGCTGGGACTCTAAAAAAGCGTTTGTTGGGGATTAACTTCAATTTGTACCGATGCAAATGATCAAAGTACTTCCTTAGATATGTTAAGTGATACAAACTCTCCTGGGATTTTATTATGATGTCATCCACATACACGTTGATCTTCTTATGAATAATGTCATGAAATATGGTCGTCATAGCTCTCATGAAGGTGGCACCAACATTCTTGAGGCTGAATGACATCACTATGGAATGATACACCCCATGGTGTAATGAAAGCAATTTTTTCTGCATCCTACTCATCTATCAGAATCTGGTGATAGACTGCGTAACAATCCACACATGATTGCTTTTCATGCTTGGCACAGTTGTCAATCAAAGTATGAATATTTGGCAACGTAAAAATATCCTTCGGCCTAGTTTTATTGAGATCTCTGTAATCGACACAAATCCTAATTTTCCCTTCTTTCTTCACAACCGGAACAACGTTGGCTAACCAAGTTGGGTATTGTGTCACTTCCACCAATCGGGACTTTATCTGCTTGGTGATCTCTTCCTTGATCTTTAAACTCAGTTCAGGCTTGAATTTCTGAGTCTTTTCTTTCATCAGGTTGAATTCCGGGTTAATCGAAACCTTATGAGATAAGACATCAGTACCTAACAATTGAATGTCACTAACTCCCCAAATGAACACATCAACATATTCAGCAAGCAAATGAATTAGGCCCTCTTTCTAAGCTTTATTTAGGCGGATGCTGATCTTAACTTATTTAACACATTCTATTTTTCAAATTCACCATTTCCGTTTCCTCCAGATTTTGTTTATGCTGATTCTCAAACTGTAGAAATTCCTCGATGACATAATGAGGTTCCTCACTTTCTTCTTCATAATTGTCAACCTTGTCATCACCTGCCTCATTTTGCTCATTTATCTCGTGACATGACATGACATTGGTAGGCCAAATAACTAAGTTACTGAAACAATAAATAGACAGTTAGGAATGTAATGTATAACAAACAACTAAATAAATAAGTTTAAATACAAAGAGGTTTCATTTAAAAACAGTGCAAACTGTGGTCATGGCACAGGGACATGTTGTCTTCTTCGAACATCACAATGAAATATTCGAAAATTCAAACAGTTAAGAAAATGCAAAATGGTGGGTCTCGGGCCTCTTTCGGACTACCACCGATTTAAATGTGCATGAAATGACGCCTTTCCACCAATGAGTTCAGGGAATTAGGATGGGCGTGGAGGTCTAGTTCCGCAGCACCTCCCCTGTCTCAGCATCGCGGATACCAGCTAGCTCGACCTCTTCCATGACAACAGAATCGATCTGCCCGAAAAGGTCACAGATTCCTTCCCTAAGGTCTTCATGTGCTGCATACTCCAGGATTGGAAAGGATTGATACAGATGTGGGATCGGCTTAGTCAAGGCTTGATCATTTTTCTTCATTATCTTAATGTCATCATCTGTGGGGATGTACCCCAAACCATATCTGGATCCCTTAACGAGTACCATAACAGGCTCAATAATTCCTTGGGAATCTCTTACCAATCCGAAACCTGCTCAAAACCATTCTGCAGTATCTCAGTGTCAATCATCTTGTACACGGCAGGCATGGGTGGTATACCGTGGTTTCATGGTACTTTCATTGCTTTATCCATAAGTTTAGTGTGTGTCCAAAAGCCTTTTTGTATTAATTTTTATGTAAGTTTCTCTTTATTTGAAGGAAATTTGTTTAAAAGATGAACGCGGAGGTTTTTGAGCAAGAAATGCAGAAAAGTACCACCTACGGATCTTGTGACGGTCCGTAGGTGGCATCGTAGTGAAGCTGCTAAAGGAAGATGGGAAGTCTTACCAAGTGAGGGGTTACGGATTGCATGACGGACCGTCGTAGCCATGACGGTTCGTCCTTCTGGTTCGTCATGAAGATTAGAGAAGTAGTCCTAGTACCCATATTCCAACAGTTCAAGTATTATGGAACGGAGACCCTTGACTAACCGTTTTGCCTGTGACGATCCGTCATACCTGCCTTCGAGGATAATGAATAAAGTAGTAGAAGAATTTGCAAAGTATGGGACGATGGAGTCCATGACGGCCCGTCGTGACCACGACGACCCGTCGCGATGTTCATCGATCGAGCCGCGTTTCGACAGATTTCCACCAAATAGAGTCCTTCATTAAATAGGTTTTTGTTTTTTATAAATAGTTCAAAAAAACTTCATTTTTGGGGTAGAATTTTTGGTGATTAGACTCTCTTATAGTTAGACTCTTGATTATTTTAGCTTCTCTTGTGGATTAGACTTTGTGATTAATATTACATTTTTTGAGAATCTTTAGTCTTCGAATAACTTCAGTAATTGATTGTTGGTGATTTTGTTGATTAATAAAGTGAATTTGTGGATTTTATTCTTTCTCATTGAAGTAAGTGCATGAATTCTTATATTACATATTCGAATATTGTGATTATGACTATGGGTAAATAAACTCCATAACTAGGGTTGTGGGAACCATAGGCCAATAATGAGGTAAAACCTAACTAAAATAACAATTCTAGAATAGTGTCCTGCATGTATTGATAATTCTTTCCTTAGAAGTATTTTTAACAGATGGACAACATTTGAACTCGCCTTAATGCTACTTTCCGGACCAAGGAGGTAGCAAATAGGAAAAGAATTATCAACATAGATTTAGTGTATACTATCTAATACGCTAGTATTGATTGGTATGAGGTAATAACTTAGTCAAATATAGAATACGATGCTTAGTATGAGGTAAAGGTAAGGGTTAGTATAATAACACACGTAGACGGACCAAGATGCGGAGTGAAATTTTCCAGATGCCGGACAAAGGATTTAGAAATACATAACTTATCACTTTGCATGCAAGATACTAGGAAAGAATTGTTATAATTAGAATTATAAAGTTACAAACCTGTGGGGAATACGTAAACCCTAGTTACTTTTATTAATTGATTAAACTCCAACATTTGAAGCTGTTAGTTGTCTCCTTTAATTTAGCTAGTTATTTTCATTAATTTAGAAGTAAAAAAACCCTTTTATTGTCTTTGTTTTCCAAGGAAATGATTGACTAAATAGCAGTAATAATTGATTGAAATTAAGTCTGAACTATTTTCCTTATGAGAACGATCTGAACCTCATTAGTTTGTTCTTTACTTGATACGACTGCTTTCCTTGTTATTTGAGAAGTAAGTTTGAGCGTATCAAATTTTGGCTGCGCTGCCGGGAAAAGACGGTTTTAGATTAAGTTAAACTTATTACTAAAATTTAGTCAATATTTTCTTAATTTTAATTTGTTTATAGTTTTTGATTCCTGCAAAACTAACTTCCTTGTATGTCAAATACACGGAGAGGAAGAGAACTCTTGTTTCCCTACGATCACGAATTAGAGTGTACACTACACAGCATGAATCGAAACACGGGTATTAATGATGATGATCCGAACAAGAACATCCCAACTCCGGTTGATGTTCATGTTCAGTTGTTAATCGATGCTCTGGGTGAAAGCCAACAGAGGGGACAAAATCCCGCTCCACGGCCCCAAGAATACTGCAGAGGCAATGACAGTATAGCAGACTCCAATGGGCCACTTTTCTTTCCCCCTTTACCAACAGGCCACACCTTTGTGGTAACTAGTAGCCTGATACAAATAGTCACTGCCAGAGGTTTGTTTTCAAGGCTACCTTCTGAGGATCCACATGCCCATATAGCTAAGGTAAAGACAGTGTGTAAAAGTTGTGTAGGGAGTCCTGACTTGGACTTTGATGTAATAGGGATAAGTGTGTTTCCTCTCTCACAGACGGGAGAGGCTGCGATTTGGTTCACTGAGCTCCCTTATAACTGAATTTCCACTTGGAACCAACTAAGGGACGTTTTCTTAGCACGCTACTACCCGGTCTCCAAGAAACTATACTTCAAAGATAGAGTGCGTAACTTTGTAGCACTACAAGGAGATTCAGTTAGTAGTTCTTGGGATAGATTCACCTTATTTTTGAGAAGCGTCCCCTATAATCATATAGATGATGAGTCATTGAAGAAATACTTGTATCGGGGACAAGATAATAATAATAAAGCGGTGTTGGATACTATAGCGGGTGTTTCTTGTGGAGAGTGTCCTGATGCTGAGAAATCTGAAAAGTTAGAGAAA